TGAAATATAATGCATTATTAATTAAAACTAAGCAGTTTCAGTTTTTCAGAAAGTCACAGGGCCAAAAAAGCCCCTAAGTGAACCTTGCTCTTTAAATGAAAAATAAATACCTCATAGCTGTGTTGCTCTTGAAATGGTTTGGTAACTTTTAAAATTAAATTAAATGTGCGCGTTAATTTTACCAATGTCTGATTGTAAATAGATGTTTTTATTTTTATTTGTTTTGTTCTTTCATGACATTGTTTCTATTGTGGCATTGGTCATTTTTAGTGCTTTATATATATATATATATATATATATATATATATATATATATATATATATATATATATATATATATATATATATATATAAAGCAATTGAAATTGAACCAATTTTTTTAAGGAAAGGTCAAAGTCAATATAACTTCCTTGTGTAAAATCCTTGTTTAGAGCATATTTTCTCTCCCCTTGGCTCTTTTGGGCTTATACTTTATCCACAGAGTACTCTTGGGTAGAGGGTGTGTAGTGACATTGAATCAATTTTCTAGATGAAAGGTCAAGGTCAGAAAATCTCTTTGCATAAAAAAATATCCAGAGCATAAGTTCTTTCTAATTTTTATAGATAAAAGGTCAAAGTCAGAAAACTCTTTTTGTACAATCCTTGTCAAGGGTTTGTTTTTCTCCCCTTGGTCCTACCTGGATCAAACATCAATTTTTAGGTTGGTTGTCAAGTTTGTAGAAAAACCTCTTGAATATTTTCCTTCCATTCAAGTCACACAAAAAACTACAACTGAGTTTGAGTTCGAGACTTAAATCCATTACAAAATACATAACTTTCTTAATATTTTGAGTATGCAAAAATGAACTAAATTATGTTTGAAAATTACTCACATAGACCCTCACCTGACTTGTTGTAGACGGTAAATATACATGTACCCTCAGGGCATAATAACCCTACATGGGTCTGTTCAAAATAGAACTAGGCAGGATTAAATCATCATTATTATAATTGAAATAACAGGAAACACACTATGAGTTAATTTTTCTTATAAAATGTTGTACGTTGTTAAACCTTTCCCTTGCATCAATGTGGTCCCTCCCTTTGGTCAGTACCAAACCTGGTGGTACTTAAAAAAAAGTATTCCAACATATACTTATCCTAAGCATCCCAGGGATAGAGTGGGGCCATAAGAGCGGAACAAAGTTTTACATAGGAACATAGAAGAAAAAAATCTTTCAAAAAAATCTTTTCAAGAACCACTGGCAAGAGCAGTGGAAACTTATGTGAAAACTTCATTACATAGTGTGGAATCAAAATTGATCTTACAAAACACTACTTCCACCATTTTATGCACTTTAAATGAGACTGCATAGGAAGATTTAACTAAGATACATAATTAATTAATTATCTTTATCTTATTTAATTTTCTGAACAGTATTGCAATTGTTACGAAAAAAGATACAGGCAAACATCGTTATCTCAAAGTAGATGGGACCAATATTAAAGTTTGAGATAGCTGATTATTTGAGATAACCTTGAAATTATAATTGACCACCATTTGATACCCAGAATAAAAAATCAAAAATCTTTTGGCACATCTACAGAACAACACCACCCATCTCCAAAAAGATGATTAGGCTACTGTTTAGAATGTAAGAGAATTTCTGGTAACCAGGGGCTTTTTGCATAAAAAACGTCATATTCGACCCCTATTTGATTTCCAGGGTGAAAATGAAAATTATGAAACCTTATTTGCAAATCTGCAGGACACCATGCACCAACCATCTCCCAAAAGATGATTAGGCTACTGGGTAAAATGTAATTGGAGTTCACGGAACCAGGGGCTTTTTGCATAAAAAACATTTTTTGGCCTCTATTTGACCCCCAGGGTAACAATGAAAATTCCAAAACCTTATTGCACATCTATAGGACACCACCAACCATCACCCAAAAGATGATTAGGCTACTGGGTAAAATGTAAGAGGAATTCAGGGAACCAGGGGCTTTTTGCATTCAAAAACATCATTTTTTACCCCTATTTGACCCCAAGGGTGAAAATGAAAATTCAAAAACCGTATTGCATATCTACAGGACATCTCCAACAATCTCCCAAAAGATGATTAGGCTACTGGGTAAAATGTAAGAGGAGTTCAGAGAACCAGGGGCTTTTTGCATAAAAACGTTATTTTTCGACTCCCACTTGACCCCCAGGGTGAAAATGAAAATTCCGAAAACCTTATTGCACATCTACAGGACACCACCAACCACCTCTCAAAAGCTGATTAGGCTACTACGTTTAATGTAAGAGGAGTTCAGGGAACTAGGAGCTTTTTGCATTCAATACGCCATTTTTCAACGCACATCTGACCCCCGGGATGAAAATGAATACTTTGAAACCTTATTGCACATCTACAGGACACCACCAACCATCTCCCAAAAGATGATTATGCTACTGTGTAAAATGGAAGAGGAGTGTGAGGAAAAAGAAAGTATGACAGACGGACGGACGGACATGAGTAACAACAATATACCCGAACTTTCTTTAGAAAATGTAGGTATACCAAACAAACAAAAAATATAAATATAACGATATGATTTAATTTTGTGCAAAATTGCTGTGTTAATTTGACATATTTCATAAGCTTTCTTAGAATCCGTAAGCTTTGAATGAATTGCTTCCTCTTAATATAAACCATAATCCAGGGATAAATTTTGACTTGAAATACTATTCAGCGAAAAGGTGATTGAAACAAATAGGAAAATTTATTTTAAATGTATTCTGTGTGCTTTATTGCTGATAGTTTACCTGTGAATCATTGTATCTGCAATGCAGAATATATTTCCCTTTGATTTTAAAACAATAAATGACACCTACTGGATAATGTCGTTGTGAATATAAAGTGCATTCAGATTTTCAATTCTTCGGTGAATATCCGAACATTTCATTATAATTACCTGTGCTGAATATCCCCCTCTCACCCGATTATTTCCTATGAAGTCATATTTCCCAAAAATCAGTCGACTTACTATAAACTAATCGGAAGACCCGATTGATAAAATCATCTGAAATATTTCTTAAGAAGTGGACTATTTCATGAAGGAAACAAACGCTGGAGTAACCCCGTTTAACGAATAATTTATACGGATATAGATATAAGCAATAAAATGGCTTTATTTATGATATGGGATTAATGGTTGAATCTACTTAGATGAAAAAAAAAACGTTGTTTTGTCCGTCTTTCTCTTTTTACAGTACATACCCAATTCTCATTTACTAGTATACCTCTGTTGCTTGTTTATGTGTAAGTGCGATGAAGTCAATACATTTTATTACTTTGCAGAGATTTCCTTACAAACTAAGGAAATGTATTTACAAGTGTTTACATACGCTATTCAATAGGACAGTATTTTTTTGGCAGCAATATGTAACTCGGAAGTATGTATACTCTCAGCACTCACAATACATAGTAGCCTTTTTATCTGAATAATACAGAAGGATCTTTTTAATCCACCACACATCTGTTATATATAAGATTTGATATCTTTACACAAATAAATCTTGGCAATTGAACTTTTCTTTTGTTTAAATCCTTATGCTGCGTTTTTATTTGCAATTAAACATTGTGAACGTTTTATATTTGATCCTTAGTTCCCAAAGTATGGATTTGATATCTAACTTTGTGATTTTTATAATATGTGTTGCATTTTTATATGATAGTGGAACATTACTCACTGGTAAGTCAATAATTTGCAATTGAAAATATGGTACATAATTATAAGCACATTGCAATGTACAACTATTACACTTACATGTATATTTTAAGATATTTCCTATTCTTTGAAAATATACCAAGCTACTAAGATTAAACAAAGTAAGAAATGATTATCTATAATGTTAAACATTTACTTATCCTAGTATGGAGGCCAAGAAAATATATTTCATAGAAAATTATTTCTTAATGCGTTACGATAATTAGAAATAACTCACATATGCTCAATGTAATACAACTTTATTTTACGAGGAGTAATGAGTTGATCCTCACGTCGAGGGTTCGGATCACACTGTGGGACATGGAGATCGGTCCTTCAGATGAGACCATATAAACCGAGGTCCAGTGTCGCGGTAGGTGCTGGCAAGAGAAAGATCCCACACTGCTCAATGGCCCTCAGTGCCGAGTATAGATCTAAATTTGCAGCCCTCCACCAGTAAGTGGTGGCGTCTCCATACGAATGAAAAATTCTCCAGAGGGACGTTAAACTACAGTCAGTACAATTAAACATAAAACTTTGAGCAGAACGAACACGGACCTCTGAAAACAAAGGTGAGACCAGGTGCCCTGGAGTAGTGAGCATCCCCTGTCGACCGGTTAAACCCACCGCGTGTTCTTTGTTATGATCTGGTAAACAGTAAAAAAATTGGTAAAAATTCGGTGTGAAAATAATGGCTTAGCTTTTCGCATGAAAGACGTTAGTCATTTATCTACCTTACGATAGATTGTATTTGGAAACGGTCATTGTATCGACCAAAGAATTTGCGAATTGTGGACTGAAATGAGTTTATTGATGTCTTTGTTTCACAATTGTCAGTAGCCTGCCTCGTTTTGGAAAATAATCTTACGTTGAACATGCTCTTGCGTAGCAACTTGGATACATGCACCCCATATACAGGTGATAATGATATACTGCTACATAAATAAATGAAGTTGACGATAGATTCCCTGGTTCTCTTAAAGAGTGGTTTATTAAGATATCTATAACTACCCCAAAATCCTTCATTAAGTTGAATTTTTCCTACCCCTTTCCCTTGCTTTTTTATAGAATAAATTATCAAACTATACACAGTTATAGACTGATTTGTATTTCTAAACATATGTCAGAAGACATGTTTATAATTACTCATGTTCAGCAGTAGAAGTTCATGAAATTTATAAAATCACTTGCATGTTTGATCATGTTCATGAATTGAAAATATTTTGTTGTTGTTGTAGCTAATGCATCTGTCTACATAACAGCTTGTGATGGGAGTACAAAGAATGACTCCGTGATTGTTGTAAAATATAGTGAAATGAAATCACACTGTAAATGTCAGATAAACCCTCGTTTTACTGGAGTTTTAAAGTTTGCCTCTAATATGAATACTTTTCCATGTGATACGCAGATTAACATTTTTGAAAATGACAAACCTGATACAGTGTTAAGGCTTCCTTGTGGTCCAAGGATTTCTGACGGATTCCACGTTACTCATCAGAGTGTCATTTTTATGACATCTAAATACATCAACTCTACCAATGGAATTTTTTATCAAGAGATTACCATTTTTGAAGGTCTCTGTAATGAGAACATTTTAACTGTTCGTATCGTTGGTCATTTTAAGTGATAGCTAAGCTAAATATCATTTTCACTTATTCTATTGAGACACGCATTGAAACTCTAAATCAGTTTTAATAAGTTTGAAATTTCAGAACATTTGTTAACTGTGAAATCAAGTATTCATCATACCTTCAAAAAAGCGTAAATGTTTGTGCTTTTTTTCAGATAGAACTTTCAATGGCACGATTTCTGTCATTTGTGGGGCCGATTTGTTAACGTCAATGCCGACAGTAAGGATCAAAACCACAGATTATACTAAATTAAATATAACTGTCTCTTCACAATCATTAACAGAAGATATCCAAACTGAAAAAAATAAAGCAAGCCCTACAACGAAGTGTGCATCAACGAATTGTATGTATACAATCTTGTTTTGACCCTTTTTTCCTATTTCCCTTTAGAACAATAAAAAAATAGAAATAATAATTTTCCAATTTTAGCATGCATATGAAGTTAATATTTTTTTTTCAAAAAAAAAGTTACCATTGGTTTTTCTAAGCCCTTTATTAATATACCCAGTAATAATTGTATTTATTTATTATCCTAATATGATACTATTCATATCACAAAATAGAAAAAGAGTCCATACTTGCTGATTTGCTGTTAGTATATAAAATTCTCACATTTTAAAATATCACTTATTACAAAAAATGTGTTATTTTTGCACCCTCATTTATAATCTTTTGTTTATTATTATTTTATTTTATTTTATTATTATTATTATTTTTATGATTATTATTTTTTTGTTGTTATTTTTTTCGGGGGGTCAGACCTAATATCTGGTTTCTCTGGAGCTGCAATTGGTGTGTTATTAACAGTCATTATCACAATTGTTGTGTGTCACTTAAGGTAGATATTCTCTCTCTCTCTCTCTCTCTCTCTCTCTCTCTGACACACAAACGCTTAAGCAAATAAATCACATTTATACTTCTAAGTTATTAATTACCTTGTCATTCTTACTTATAGTCAAGAGTGAAACAAAATGTAAAACCTGAACTATCTTTATATCGAAATACTCAAATTTAAACAGAATTTATCTGTGTTACTCTATATATATTTGCATCAGTTCTTTCTTCCAGAAAAACAAAACCAATTCCAAAGACAACTGGGCTGAACGATGAAACGAACACTGGACAGGAAAACAATGACACTTATGATGAACTTCGTGACAATCCTCCATATCAGTCCTATCAGCCTCCAGACAATGAACCCCACATTTACATTCCTCTTCAAATAACTGAAGAAAAATCTCAAATGAAAAAATTTCCATTATTATACACGTAACGTCTTCGAATAGGTCTTTGTTGGTGCGTGGATTTGTTTGCGAGCTAATATTCCTTTTTTTTTACTTTTTAAATCTCTTTTTAGAAATCTTTGTAGGCAAAAATAAAACAAATGTGAGAGTGTATGTGAGTGTGGTGTCATGTTATTAAACTTGTGCATACATGGATTTCAAAAGAGATCTACATTGTTTAATCCAAAAGCACTATTCACCTATATTTCAACACATCTGGCTATTTCATAGACAGTAAGACATCATTTTGGTGACACAACCGTATGGTTTTCCAGGTTGAGTTCTTATGCTCACAAAAAAGTTCTATAATCAACTATAGTTTACTATAGTATCAATGTTTTTGTTATCAATGTTTTGATACGTATTAAAATGTTTAATGAGTTTGCCTTGGATTTACTGTAAGCCAACTATTATTTGCGTCATCTTTTATTCGCGATTCTTCAGTTTTAAATCAATGCGCGACGATTAATTTTGGCGACTGAGGAAATATTCTTTACAAAAACAAAGTAAAAATTAATGGTTTGCAGCGATTAATATTCGCAAGTTAAAGAGGCTCGCAAAACTCGCGAATATTTCTCGCACGCGAATAAAAGTTGGTTTACAGTATTTTGAGGGGAAAAAATTCAAACAATACCTGACCTTTCATTCATTTTATTTTAAAGACCAATTTAACTTTGAACAAAGAGATTTTGTATTGTCTTACAATTTGTTGTTGGATGGGAAATCTGTATTTTTTTTTACGAAACATTTACCAGTGTTGTATCTTTGTAACTAGCAGTGCGTATACAAATTTAATGGGAAAATATGGTATCAGCTTCCTTTGTGAAGTGATTTTGTATTCTTAATGGAATCAACACTTGCTTTATCGAAAAAGATAGACACATAGAAAAAAAAGTCGATAAAAATCATTACAAAATCATAAGATTTAAGTAAAAAGGATGTTAGTAATAACAGTAAGTATTGGAAAGATTTCAAGAAAATAAAATATCAACTGGAAACAACTTTTACTGTAGTTTAAAAAAAAAAACAGAGAAAGAGATAAAGTTTACATTGATCAACTTCCTTTCCTTTTTGTGTTGAAATACAAATTTTGCAGTAAATGTTTCATAACCATAATCTTTCTATTGGTGTGTAATGTCTGAATTAAGCTTACTGGTGAGTGACCAATATCTATTTTATTTGTATCATACTGAGTAAATATAATATAATCAAATCATTATCATGTTTAATTTTCAATTAGGAAAACTATTGCGACATTACAGTTAAAATACATGAACAACATATGCAGATAATGTTATTTTTCTTCGATGAAATATGGAGATAACGAACAGAAATCAAGTTAGGGTAATATGAAGCTATACAAATTGGGGGCAGAGGAAACTCTGACTTAACACTGACCTCTTGATTAAGAGATGGGATCAGGTGCTGTGCAGGAGTGTGTTCCTCTGTTAACCGGTCACTTCCATCGTGTCTTCCTTGTCATGGTCGGACAAGGGGAAGAATCCGTTGACAATTCAGTGTTTAAATAAAAGCTTTATAATTAGTATATTACACGCCAGACAGCATTTAACTTAATGATAGACAACATGGTGGTGTATCAACCATAGAACTTGCGAAGTGATGACTTTAAACGAGACGGTTGTTATTCTTGTTTCAGAGTATGCCCTTGCGTATCTAATCAGCTGGGAGACAAAAACACCATATACAAGTAGTAATGTTATGTTGCTACAAAAGTAAGGCAAGTTTATGATAAAAAAAAAGCTAAAATCGTCACGGTTATCATAAAGTTTTGTTACAATATCGTCTTTTTCTAGTAAAATATCTAAATATGAAAAAGATGTGTCAGAATCTATTGTATCTTTTATTTCACGTTTACTGAGACATATCGAGTCGACATATGAATGGAAGAAGCAATAGTTAAAGGATGATACATATCTAAACTTCGAGCTGAAGGCCACAGCAAGTGTTTTCTACTTATCAGTTATACGTTTTTATATAAATGCTGCGCCATATGAATACAACTATAATTCTGCTAATAACGAGGCTCAATTTATACCCATGGGATTGTTGGAATAACTGATCTCTAAACACTGCTTAGATATTGTCAAACAGAATTCGGGCTTCTTTTATTAATATCATCTTCAGAGTACAATATTCTTGTGTGTACAAGCAAAATGTTTTTTAACAAAATAAATTTGCAAACGTCCCATTATGACAAGGTAATTAATTTTACGACTTCCATTTTTATTGAAAATGCACCTGTTTATGATGTCGAAGACCTGAACTTTAATTTATCATGGGAATGGTTGTAAAAAGTGTTGAAAAGTCGTATCTTTTGATATAATTGATTGTGGTAAATTGTTGCGATTTCTTATTTTCTAAAAAGTTTTCAATTGTCAACCCCTCCATTAACAAAAACGAACGTAATATTTGTCTGTAAAATCTATTCACTTAACGTGAATAACTGAACGAAATGCAATATATAAATTTAAGCTTACTTAAAAATGTTTGTTGTAATCAATAAGTATCCTCCTTGAATGTTAAAGTCTGAAAATGTATAGTGATGTATCATTGTGGTCATTTTGTTTCATGTCTTAGGAGAGGCAGAGATTGACCAAACGCGGTGTATCACTCTGCCTCTTTTCCCAATTACAGCCTTGGAAAGGTTTGTTATTTACCTCCTTCCACCCGCCTCCGCTACAATTTTTGGTTGTAATTTTATATTTTTAAGCATTTTCAGACTCATTTTCATGGTTTCTTCCTGTTAAGTCTAAGTTGTAATTACTGGAAATTTGGATTATCTCCCTTTACAAAATTGGTTTGTTTCTCATCTTTATATTTTGTGTTCGCTAAATATATATGCCATAGTTAATAATACTTTTAAGAATTTCAAACAAATTATTAAACGTCACAAAGGTGGCAACACACGACAAACTGTTTTACAGACTTTTTATTAATTGAAGGAGGATAACATAAGGTGTTCTAGTGATGAAAGGAATATGGAAAGCAATTAAATGGATAACTGGCCTATCAAAATACCTATTGCATTAACATAAATATTGTATTATACTTATGTTAAATAATGAGAGATCTCCCTTCAAAAACCCTTTGAGTAGATGCCTTAAAAGCTGGTTCTTATAAAACTAATTATTGTTAATGATAATACCGATTGCAGAACTTATTTAGATGAATATTAAATTTAAAATCATATGTCTTGTTCAATACTGATATGTTTTATATGTTAGATTTTTGGCACAATAAAAAATACTTTAACAAATAAAATAGAATGGCACAGTCCAAATTACATAAAAGCTTTATTGTTAGCGCTTTCAGCTATGTTGTCTCCTCAGACAGTTATAAAAAAGTTCAAAACGTTGACAAAAACGTAATGACGCCGTGATAAGATTAGGCATTATGGCGTCGAAATGAAGTTTGTGATACCTCTTTGGTTTCACGGGCGATGTCATATGATGTCCACATTTTGTAAAGAGGTTTATTTTATAATCCTGTTTGATTTAAAACTCAATCGTAAATGATAGATAATGGATTTAAACTTTTAATTTTATTTGGAAATAAACTTTAAATTCACTGTTAGCAATATGGAACTATTAGCTCATTTTCAGAAATGAGCCTGGAAAAGGGCCTTAATTCATTCAAAAAGACTTAAGATTCACTGTTGTGCAGCTACATAGCTATCAATATTTCTCAATGATGCATAAGTTCATAGATCACAATGAACTAAGACTGTTTCATTTTAGGTCAATACTTGACAAATGTTTTATCAACTGTAACGTACAAATACAGCTATATCTATTTATAAAGTATCATGTTTGCATTAATGGAGCGATTACTTTTCTATAAGAATATACATGTAGGTACGTTTGTCAAGTACCTATGACTAGGAAAGTACAGATGCGAGTAAGTCAATAAAGTTTTTATTTAATGAAGCAAATTTCCGTTTACAAATACAGATTTCCGTGTCTGGACAATAGATTAGTGTGGGTTTTAGTGTTTCATTACAGTGACATGAAAACCGGAAGTACTGACAACACTGGGAATATAAAGACCTCTCTATCTAGGAGATACTAAAAGATGCATCTATTTCTTTGACCTTTTCAATTTTTACTCACGTCAACTTTTTCAAAGAAGTTCAAAATATTATTATTGTCTTACGGCTTGGATTTAATGTCTACTTCTAGGATTTATAGTTTATTTATTTTATCTGATAATGCATATATAAAAAAATATCCTAGTGATGATTTCAAACGTTAATGTTAAGTGAAATAGATGTAGTATATTTTATTACATTTGTATCATATTTGCATTTGACTTGAAAGAGAATAGAGCATTAAAAGATGAAAGTATGTATATACATGTATCTCTGAAATGTATTTTGAAATTGAGTATATTAGTAAATGCTGTTCCAAAAATTCAGTATCCATCATTTAAAATCAAAGTACTGAAAGTACTGGGAAGCGCTAAGCAATGTTTGCAATTTGAAATTCATCACAATTATTTTGCACTAAAATTGCCTATTGTATTGGAATAAGTAATTATATGTTGTGAATTCGACCGCTAGGGCGAGCACAGTTGTTTGATACATATTCACTTCAAAATAAAACTTGTATCCGCCTCTTTGTTTATCACCGAAAGCTTATGAAAAAAGTTTGTTTAATGTTAAAATGCATTCCCGGAAGTTATTATGGGAAAAAGTTCATTCGGAGCAATGTGCACAATCCGAATTTACTCTCCGCCGTTCCTTTAAGAGCTAGTTTGCAGTTACATGTATGTGCAGCACTCGCTTCTAGTTTTCTTTTTCTTAAACATCATTACAATTATGCAAATTTATCCTTACGTCGCGGGTTTGAATACGACTGTGGGATGTGTAGACCGGTCTTTTGGATGGTACCGTGAAATATATGGAGATAACGAACAGTATTCAAGCTCAAAAGTCCATTATACAATACAAAATAGGAGCAGAGCAAACACGGACCTCCAAACATCAGAGGTTGGATCAGGTGCCATGGAGGAGTGAGCATCCCCTGCCGACCGGTCACATCCGTCGTGTGCTCCTTGTCATGATCGGGAAATAACGGAAAAATCCGTCGACAATTCAGTGTGTAAATAATGGCCTAACAATTAGTATGAAAAACGTCAGTCAGCATTTGACTCAATGATAAATTGTATTTGCTGACAAGGTCATTGTATCGACCATAGAACTTACGAAATGATGACTTTAAACGAGACAGCTGATA